GCCTCTCTGTTAGGAACTGCCATGATGGGACAAGGGGTAATGGGTTCAAACTGAAGGAGGGGAAGTCTTTTACTCTAAGGGTAGTGAGGCACTGGTACAGGTTGCCCAGGGATGTGGTGGCTGCCCTGACCCTGGTGGTATTCAAGGCCAGGCTGGATGAGGCCTTGAGCTACCTGATCTAGTGAGGAGGTGTCCCTGCCCATGGCAGGGGTTTGGGACTGGATGATCTGTAAGGTCCATTCCAACCCCTAAATTCTATGTTTCTATGATTCTATGAATGTTCCAAAAATAAAAGCTGTATCTATCCTTGCCTGTGAAACTTTGTTCCATCAAGCACAACACTCACTACAGAGCTGTGTTCTGAGTGCAGGCATCCAGCTTCAAGTGTCAGTTCATGGAATAAGTAGATATTGGCATGATTTGAAAACAGCCATCAGGAATTCCCAGCTTGGGTCAGCATTTAATGACACCCTAAGAGCCAAGTAAGAGCTCAAAAAGGGAACACAACTCATGCCTGTGATGTGATCACACACTCAGCTGAGAGCTGAGTTTGGCAACAGAGACAGAGCCACAGGAACTTGTTTCTGTCCAAGATATATCAAGCACTGCTCTCCAGGCACATACTCAGCAAAGGAAGTGTGGGATCTGGTGGATGTGCCAGACTGCCAGAGAATCACATTCCCCCAGGCATCCATTGAGCAGGGTCAAACCCCTCAGCTGATGGAAAGGGAAGTGCTACAGGAGATAGTCGGATTTCAAACCACATTCAGTCTTCTGATCAAAACCTGCAGCTGCAATCATAGCTGAAGTTCACACACCTGACTTGTCTTTAAAAAAGGATAAGCAAAGTTTTCACTTCCCCAGGCAGCAAAATCAATTTTCCCTTTCCTTACCTCCTCGCTGCTCATCGATTCAGAGCTCAACGTGCCATGATGGCACTGCACAATGATGCTGGAAATCAGCTCACCAGAGATTTCTACAACACTCCTGCAGGAAGCAGTTGACTGTAACAGAACAAAGAGCAAATCTGCTAGAGTACAAACCAGTAAAAATCCTCTCATGGCAGTTTTATTGGGGGTGGGAACATGTAGAGGGATTCTAAAAACAAACTCCAAAAGCAAGGAAACCAAGTAAGATTATATGTGACTGCACACAAGCTATTGCTCCACAACTAGGCATTAGCTGTACAAAGACTTCAATCTGCTCAAGGCAGAAGAAAACCTCCACATTCTTTTCACAGCTCTGGCATCACCAAGCACAAAGGGGATGATGCAGGGCTATGCTGATGGCAACTCCAGCTCTGAAAACTAAACTACCTTTAAAGATGTTATTGCAATTTGATGGAAGCTCCAGCAAAACCTGCACTCAAGTATGGAAAACAGAGATCCTCATGCTCTTTCACATCGTATTGCCCCAAGAAGAAAAGAGAGATGGTGCCCGTTTAGGATACAGGGCCAACACCATAGCAGCCAACCCTTGTCTTTTTAAGGCAAACCCAGCTATCACCATCAAGTCTGTGTGGTGACATCTACACACACACACCAGCTGCTTAGCTCAAGAGTAGTGATGCTCAAGGAGATGTCTACCCCCCTCTTCATGTAGCAAACTGTCTCCTGAGGTAGCAGCATGTCTCATAAGCTGTGAGGAAAGCCTTTGTGTCTTAATCAGTGCCTTCCCCAATCACTCCACTTCCCTAAGGACTGTGCCCAGGAAGGACAGGTAAGTTTGACAGCCATTCCCACAAGGAAAAGAGGTGAGCAGAGCTCAGCTTGGAGCAGTACAAAGCAGCAGAGAGAATCTCGGTGGAAGTCTGACATGCAGGGACTCGAGCTCCTCTACATGCTTTGGAAGATTTGTGCCAGCAGTTAGGACATGACCCTTCAGAATCTTGCAATGGGACCTGTGTTTTGGCCAAAATAAATGCACACAGAGAAGTCCAGGCTCAAAGATGATGTATTTACACTGAAGCTGCTCGTTTAAGAATCAGAGTAGAGCAAGAGCTGTATCAAGAGCCTGTTTATTTCAGGCTGAGAAGGCTGAAAATCTGAGAGAGATCAGCACTGTCAGCAGAGGGGAGCTGCACTACATGGGAAGATAAGCCTTTATATGGTGCCCAGGTGCATAACAGGCAAAAGTAAACCAAATAACAGCTCTTATCTTAGAGATACAGCAGCCCCTGTATTCCCTCTGATCAGGCAGGAGCGTTTTCCAGTGCTGTCTCTTCTCACCTAACACCCCCTCCACACTGCAGGTTGTATCTGTTTAGGTGTGTTTTCCTTTCAGAAAGCCAGTCATTCCTCGTTTTTCAGCACCAGCATCATTCCAACACACCCTGAGAACATCCTGCACAGAGGGGAGTGTTCCCATTGCCACCACTTACCACGAAAGGCCCAGTTTTGAAGGCACAGGTGAAGGGATCTCTTCCTGAAACTTTCGTGCACACAGTCTCACGGATGCTGAACTGCAGCTCTAGTCTGTAAGCATCACTGTTCCACATGTCAGCCTGGTAAAAGGAAGGTCAACACAAAACATAATTAGTGCTTGTCACTCTTCTGTGCCCACCAGGTGGCAACCTTGCTTCTTTCTCAAGCAGAAGATGACATAAGGGCATGATGGGTCAGTGTCCAATTTAGAGCAGATTACTGTGTGCAAAAAATGTTGTTTTATTTGCGACAGCAATTTGGTAACCGCAACATAGGAGAGTTTTCCATGGGGATTTCACTTGAAACCTCCCAGTCATTGCAGGATCCCCCTACTGCCCACAGGCAACTGGGGGGAACCAGAGCTGTTAAAGGTAGATGAGCACAGCATTACCCCTGCATGCCAACCCTTTTTTGGCGAGAACCAGGGTGCCAAAAGCTCTGTTTTGGATACCCAGACTTCTGGGAAGTCTACTGCAAACACAAGGCTTGGAAAGTAAATCACATAAGTGCAAGTAAGTGAATTAATGCAGTTTATAAAGTCACCTCATGTCAGCTCAGGTGCCTCAATGGGCACCACGTACGCAACACTAAAATTCCTAGAGAACTTGGTTGGTTTTTGGTTATTCTTTTCTCCTCCTCACAATCTAAGCAATGTTTTAGCTCAAGATGGGAAACTCAAAAAAAAAAAAAAGCAACCCCCTCAAAACCCAATAAATTCCCATTGCTTTCAAGTACTTTTCAGTTCAAACTGGAGGAAAAGTCTTGGCTGGATGTGAGAAAAAGGTTTTTTACTCTAAGGGTGGTGAGACACTGGCACAGGTTGCCCAGGGACGTGGTGGCTGCCCTGACCCTGGCAGTGTTCAAGGCCAGGCTGGATGAGGCCTTGAGCAACCTGATCTAGTGAGGAGGTGTCCCTGCCCATGACAGGGGGTTGGGACTAGATGATGTGTAAGGTCCATTCCAAATCTTGAATTCTATGATTCTATAATATTGTATTTTTTTAGTCAAACTAGAACAACCCAAAAAGTCATCTTGTCATTCATTCTTGAAGACTTGATACATGCTCCCTACACAAACAGAAAGGTTCTGCAATCTTTGAACTAAGAAGCTTTAACTCTTTAACTCTGGGTATCCAACGTAATTCCTAGCACCACAAATTAAAACAGATAGGGGTTTCCTGCCTGTATTTAGACTCTAGCAGATTTAGACCAGAACTAGTGTGTAGAGGCACATGACAAATACAGACTGGAGAAAGAATCCTGCCTGTTTGTGGTGGCATTCCAACAGCTGAGACGTTCAGATGAACCATGTTGCTTCATGCCCAGTGCAAAGCAGTTAGCTGGAGGTGTTTAAAAACCAGCTGTGAACAAAATATTACAAGACATCCCTCAAATATTTCTATTGTACAGGTGGAAAACCTAAAGTATTTTTAATTACAAACCAACACACAAAGAATATTTAGGTCCCAGGCCCACCCCCTTCCAAGCAGCACCAGCAAACTCCAACTAACTCTGGGTTTTCAGAGCTCAGTCTAAATGAGTTTTCTACCACAGCAAAGCATGTTCCAGGAAAAGGATCTCTGTGGTCTGTGGACTTACCCTTGTGATGTGGCTCCTAACAACACCATACAGGTTTCTCCCCCATGACCGGGAGTTGATCCGTGCAATGGAAGCATTGAGAGCCTCTTCTGTGACAGGGAGTTCATAATCGTATGCTGAAAACCCTGAGAGGGAGGCAGAGTTCTGTTACGAGCTCACTGAGAGGGAGGCAGAGTTCTGTTACGAGCTCACTGAGACTTGCATTTCTCCTCCTAAACCCACCCTGAAGAAGAGGATGTGGCTCCAACTTACCTGAACACGAGAAAACACACAGTGTGAGGACAAAAATTAAGATCCTCATGGTATGCCTTTCAAAATGCTCCAGTCTTTTCCCTTTCTAAGCAAGGATTTCCAGTGCATATTCCTCTGTCTTTATATAAATGCAGCCTTGATCCTGTGCCTGACCTCCCCATGTTCAACTCTGCTACAAACATTGCACTTCAAACAGAATTGATCCCAGGGTAAATATTTGCTGTCAGCTTTTTTCCATTGAGCAGTAGCTCTCTGATATGCAATGGCCGCAGTGCCTTTTTCCCAGGACTGGGACTCCAAGGCAGCATGGATTTCCCAGCTATCTCCATTGCCAAAGGCAGAATCTAGTTGTTCACTTCTAGCTGTTAGTTTTTCATGGGGTGAGTCAACGCTTTCCTTAGCACTGGACCCAGCAACTGGAAGCACTTACAAACTGGCATTCCCCAAGGAGGGGACGATTGACCCTGCAGCCACAGCACCCACCAGAAGCCTCCCAGACACAAGGCACATGGCAGACCCCTGGGATACCCAGTTTCAGCACACAAATTAAGGGGATTTTTGGAAAACAATGTTGGAAACTGCTGTCTTCAAGGAACCTCACCAACTGCTGCCTGTTCAAGAGGCAGAGATGTGTCTAATCAGGCATTGGAATGAGCTGCCCAGGGAGGTGGTGGATTCACCCGGCCCTGGAGGTTTTCAAGATGAGACTAGATATGGCACTTAGTGCCATGGTCTATTAACCACAGTAGGGCTGGACATGATGATCTTGGAGGTCTTTTCCAACCCGGCTGATTCTGTGATTCTAACCGTGTTCTTTCTGATGGTTTCAGGAGTGAAATTCCTTCATTAACCTTCAAATCCCAGTTCCACTTGAATTCAGTGGCACGAGGTTGGTCTCTTTAAGAACTTCCCAAATGACAAGCACTCATGGGAGGCTCAGATTTAATAAGGAAAAGGATAAAGCTGCACCTGCTAGTAAGTTGTCAGATTGCAGGATGGCAGCAAGTCACAAGGTTGGACACTGGGGGAATCCGATTCCTCCGGTGACAAAAGGAGTTGG